CAACCAGGATATGACGAGAGGCTCAACATAAATAATAATTGGGTAAATGCAAATAAACCAATGAGATATCATCTCATACTCATTAGGATGGCCAGTATCAGAAAAACAGAAAATAGTTAAGCGTCAGTGAGGATGTGGAGAAACTGGCATGCTTGCACACTGTTAGTGGGAATATAAAATAGTGCAACCGCTAGGGAAAATATGGCGTTCCTCAAAAATTTAAAAATAGGATTACCACATGATCCAGCAACTCCACTTCAGGTATATATCCAAAAGAATTGAAAGCAGGATCTCAAAACACAGGCACACCATGTTCATAGCAGCATTCCTCACAATAGTCAAGAGATGGAAGCAACCCAAGTATCCATAGGCAGACAAATGCATAAGCAAAATGTGGTATATACATACAAGGAAATAGTATTCAGCCTTAAAAAGGAATGAAATCTTCTACAAGATGGATCTTGAGGCCATTATGTTAAGTGAAATAAGCCAGTCACAAAAAGACAAATACTCTATGATTCCACTTATATGAGCTATCTCTCAAGTAGTCAAATTCATAGAGAAAGAAAGTAGAACGGTGGTTACCAGGGGGTGGGGGAGGGGAAAATGAGTTATTGTTTAATGGGCATAGAGTTTCAGTTTTGAACAATAAAAAAGTTCTGGAAACTGGCTGCACAACAATGTGAATATGCTGAACACTACTCAAGGACACTTAAAAATAGTTAAAATGATAAATATGATGTTACGTGTTTTTCATCACAAATTAAAAATTAGAAAAAAAAACATCAGGGACTTAAAAAATTTATAAAATACCATTCACCATTATGTTTCAAGTTCATATTCAGCACAGTACTATGTTCAAGTATAACCACCCTTTTTGAAAAGATGTCCATAGGTCAGTAAGACCAAACTATTGTAAATATATTTGTTGAGAGCCTAAGGGAAACCAAAAACCCAAATGGGAATTAAGTTTTCATTACTTCACCTACTAACATTAAAAGAGGAACCTGTATTTTGTATGACCTGAGTACTAAACGGGTACTGCTTGGGTAAAGGGAAAAAAGTAGTATTATTAAAACTACCTGAATCATCTGCTAAGTTCACAATGGTTCTTTATGCTGAAGAATAAAATTGGTTAAAATTATTCCCCCTAAGATTCATTCAATTTGATCTTGTCTAAAAGCCACCATTTTTCAATGAGGTAAACACTTGGCACTGAAAATCCTCAAAAAACTAAGTACATATTGTACCTCCTTTTAGGGTATTTGTCAAGGATTGTCTTGGTCAAGGAGGGCACACAGTAGTAGGACAGGTCCCATCCTCAGCCCTGGAACAATCAAATCAGTACTATTATGTTGGCTAGCAGGAGTGTGGAATTAGTTCAGTGACAAAAATGATGAATTGCAGGCCGGACTAATATTTAGCAGCTAAACCTAACCGGAACCAAACAACATCAAAAAAGATAACACTGAAAACAGTGATAGAAAACAGAACAATTTGGAACAATATGAAAAATAAACTGATCTACATATAAAACTTTAATCAGACCTCTAAAACTTTATACATGTCCTCACTCTAGATATTAAGGCTGGTTCAGATTTTCAGTGGTTCTCAAAAGATCAGCATTATTTGAAACTCTGGTGAACACACATGAAAAATCATGTATCAAATTTAGCTGCAATGATAAGCACTTTAATAAGGTGCTCCTGTTAAGGAAAAGACTGATTAGAAGCTACACATTGTTTAATGAAATATCAGCAAATGGTACTGATTATTAAAATAAAATATTTATAAGGATTGCGTCCACAGGCAAGGAGTCTTTCAGTGGCTATTCAAAGTGGAAATTTTTTAGTGGGATATTCAAAGTGCTTGAGGAAAACATTCATCAAGATTCATTCTTTTTTCTCAGCCACTATAACCTTACTGATACCCTGCAAACTCTGTTACTATCCTAGCTAGTATCTCAAAGATAATTTATTTGTAAACATGCTAAGCAAATTAACAGATGCAATATAGGTCTTAAAAATACTGGGGCCAGCCCCATGGCCAAGTGGTTAAGTTCGCACACACTGCTTCAGTGGCCCGGGGTTCACCAGTTCAGATCCTGGGCATGGACCTATGCACTGCTCATCAGGCCATGCTGAGGCGGCATCCCACACAGAAGAACTAGAATGACTTACAACTAGGATACACAACTATGTCCTGGGACTTTGGGGAGAAAAAAAACAAAGAGGAAGATTGGCAACAGATGTTGACTCAGGGCCAATCTTCCTCACCCCAAAAAAAGAAAGAAAGAAAAAAAAACACCATACCTTAAAAAAAAAAGACCCTTGGGGGACCGGCCCCATGGCCGAGTGGTTAATGTTCCACGAGCTCTGCTTCAGCAGCCCGGGGTTCACAGGTTTGGATCCCAGGTGCGGACCTACTCCACTCATCAGCCATGCTGTGGAGGCATCCCACATACAAAGTAGAGGAAGACTGGCACAGATGTTAGCTCAGGGGTAATCTTCTTCAACAAAAAAAAAGAGGAGGATTGGCAACAGATGTTAGCTCAGGGAGAATCTTCCTCACAAAAAAATACTCTTGGAATTGGTTACGGAAAATCACATATGTTCATGTATGTCAGGGGGAGCAGGTGTGAGAGTAGCTATATAAATACATACATATATATACCCACATTAAGATATTTAAGAAAATTATTCAGAAACCCATATAAAGGTTTTTAGATGCTCTATTGAATTAATATGATCTTTCATCTAGCTCATCTTTTCTCATTTCCTTTAACTATGTACCGAGATTATATACAAGTATTTAGTACTGTGGGCTCCACAGATCCTAATATAGAGCATGATAGGGGAAGTACTCATGTGAAAACACTGAGGTGACAGAATAAAGGTATTCCACAGAAAACAGACAGATACAAAGTACCTTTACAAAGAAGAAAATACAAGAACCATATTTAGTATTCAAAGTTTGAGACAACCAAAATGCTTGATAAATTATCCTTTTTTGAAGGGAAAATGTATAACATTTAAATCAGCAAGAGAAAGTCTTACGAGGAAAAATATCTTCTGGAAAGATGTTTTCTTCTAATTAAACACTTTACTCAATCATTTTCATTTTTCACTTGGAAATTGTGACTTCCTAAATTATTTTAATGCTAGTGTCATTTTTATGTGCCAATTCAGGACAGAAGCATTAACATGACTCCTTGCATCCTTGCTTATTCATCAAAATAACTGAGAAGTGTTACCCCTCTCCCTTGTTGAATTAACAAATCCTAACATGCACAAACATCCTAATCTCTAGGCTCTTCTCTCCGTCAAAGTGGTAACAGCACAGCAGGACTACCTTCAACCTCAAATTTTCCGTAAGCCCTATAGACAAGAACTTAAGTGTTCTCTGGTGGAAGATGGCAACTGGGAAAATGAAGATACAGGTTTAAATTACAAATTTCCTCAACCTCTCCATGACGATAAGTTTTTCTAAGGAAGCACCCTAAGAAACATTTTTAATAGGTGGTAGAATGTAAATGTGTCTAAATGCCTGTCCCATTTATGAAATGTGATGCACAAAACAGGAAATTAATAGTTCTGCTATACACTAACACCTGACAACCAAATAAGGATAACCAAATAACAGTAAGTTTCAAATTTGTCTTTGAACTCAAAGAAGTTTACATCAAAACCTTAAGCAATAAAAGACTATATAGCATTATATATAGCAAAGGAACATGAAAGGGAAAGAAATCCATTATTTTACAGAAACAAACTGAAAAAGTTTACGGCAAATCTGCCCAAATTACTAAGAACTGCAAAATAAAGCAGCACGGAGAGAAAACATAAAAAGGATAACATGGTAAGAAAACACACATTTACTTAATTAATGGAAGTGCAATTTCGTAAAAATAGAAACAAAGTGACTCTGAATTGCAACGCATACTTTAAATGCTATAGGACTATACTCAACCATTTCCAAAGATGTTTAGGCGCTGAACAGTTACCCCCAAGGAGTAAAGCATAAACATTTCTAAAACAAGGGAACAATTCTGTTTCTTGCCATACAAAGCAACCAAAAGTTGTAGTCACAGGAAGAATTTCCATGAAACTCATGAAAATTGTGGCTCATGCAACTTGGGGAAAGAACATAACGTATACCTAAATATATCACTGTGGTAATAGTGCTTTGCACAACATAAAAATTGAACTTTTTGGGTTTAATCTTCCTTTGTTATGTGTTAACATTAAACACTCTTCAGTATCTTTTATTTTCCAGGTCAGCAATCTCAAAAAAAGTTATAACGGACCACCTTGCGTTATTCTACAGTGAACCATCTTTTGATTTAAAGCTCTTGTCTCACCTTCCAATAAATAAACGCAAGTATTATACTCTGGACCTGCCATTTAATTCAGGAATGAATTCAGAATTCTTCCTGGATAGTTGCTTATTGTATATGCTTCATAAAGCTGTGGAATCTTACTGTACTCAGCCAGTTATTGCACTCCAATGAAAACCTTCTCACCTTTCAGAGTAGTTACACAATATGGTTAAATTAAACCCTGACATAACAAATAATTTCCTCTAGCATTTCCATATTCTATACCAATAAAGAAATGAGGACCACTGATCAACTAGTGTCTGCAAGTCATTGCAATAGTTGCAAAACTGCCTGTGAGTATATCAGAGGAACTGTGTATGGTGAGACAGGATGTTTTCCCTTTTATGTCCTGAGTGAACTTTAAGGGATTAAAACCAAATTCATGTCAACTTTATAGCAAAGAATTCAGATTCTAATTCTGAATACAAATACCTCTGTAAAAAGTGAGGGCTATAAAACCATATACAGTATGGTCAGGGTTTCACTTTTGTATTATGTGCACATTGTGTTTTAATCTGAAATGCTTTATACTTGTATTTCATGTTATATAGTTTTTGGGCCGGACTGTGTTTTTCCCCAAAAAGAAAAGTTAACTGTTTTTCCACCTTAATAGTCAACCTACCTGCCCATAGTTGTCTATGCCAGTTACTAATCTATTTAAATTTAATAAATCAAAAGCTGTCCTTAGGGATTGGCCAAGAGTCGTAAGTCCTTCAGCCTGAAGGTTTTTCAGTTCATTCATAAACGTTGCATGGTTTTCTTTCCATCCGGCCTGAAAAGAAAAATGTAAGAATTTTTTTTTCATCTTTTAAAGCCCTGTATACACGGACAGCCGTTAACAATCTGCCGTTCACCAAGCAGCTGCTTCACTTTACAGTATGGTTTGGTTAACGTGTCAATACCGGATCACTGCTGAGGAAACTCTCTTCCAAAGGTGGCCAAGAATAAATCTGCTGGCTCTACAGTTTTCGGTAGCTAACAGCCTTAATACTTCAGAGCTTCCCTGGGAAACTGACTCCCTAACCTAATACCCAAAATCTGGGGATGCAAAGGTACTAGCGGAAAGCAGAAGTGAGCAGGACCTCGCAAGTTAACCCACAGAGCTGTCCCGCGGCCCTCTCGGGACGGATCCGAAGACCCGGCCCCGCAGCCCCCCACCCCGCTCGCCGGCCCGCCAGCCCGGGCGAGCGCGGCCGAGCCCCGGGCCGATGCCCCTTTAATGCAAACCGGGGCTCGGCGCGGCCGGGCCCGGCTGTCATTTGGGCGAACTTGAATAAATATCCCCCACAGTTCATTGCTGCCGCTCACGCCGCGGAGGGGAAATGTCGGCCATGTTGATCGCAGCGCCGCCGCCGCCGCCGCCGCCGCCGCCGCCGGGCCGGGCTGGGGAGGGGACGGCGGTGGCCCGGCGACTCTGCGCCGCGCCAGGACGCTCCGGAGCGGGGGGAGGGGGTGGGCGCCCGCAGGGGGAAAGACCTCAGCGCCTGGAGCACAGCGGGTGGGGGAGGGGAGCATAATGAAGGGTGAATGGGGGGGCGGGGAGGGCGAGCGAGGCAGGAACAGGGAAGGGAAGGGAGGGGGAGGGCGAGGGCTGTTACCTTGATAGCATAGGGCGGCTCTTCGAAAGTGACCAGCATATACCTGTCTCCTCGGCTGGCAGGGTCCCGGGCACGGAGCTGCGGGAGAGCGGGTGGGGGACGGGAGGAGGAACAGGGCGGGCGAGAGGGAAGCACAGAGGCGAGGTTACGAGGCGGAGAAGGGGCGCCCGGCGGCCCCGCCGCCCCCCACAGTACCGCACACGCAGCGGCCACCCCTCCACGCCGCCCCCCGCACACAGATCGGCCCCCGCACACCGCCCGGGGCCGGAGCCCGGGCCCGGGCCGAGCCCGGCTCGCAGCGCCCGCTCGCCCGCCCGCCGCCCGCGCGGTGGGGGAGGGGGTCCCCGAGCCCGGCAGCTCCCGCAGTCAGGTCCCCGACACCTCCGCCTCGCCGCCCCCGGCCTCCCTCCCCCCACCCCTGCCGCCCGCGGCTGCCGGGCCGGGGTCGCCGCCCGGGCTCGGTCAGTCGGTACCTTCATGAAGGTCTCTACCGCGCCTTTGGCCGTGTCCAGGTAGGTGGTGCCCAGATGGCTGCGCTGGTTCATAGAGGCAGACGTGTCTATCAGGAACAGTAAGATGGGCATAGTGCTGGCCGGGGACACCGGGGCCCGAGGTGGTGGAGAAAGAGGAGATGGTAGAGGTGGAGGCGCCGGTGGCGGCGGCGGCGACCGCCGCTACGCGGGGCGGGGGAGCGCGGCCCCCGGGAGGAAAACACCGTCTGGGTCTTTCCTCTGGCTGCGGGGAGTTTCTCCCCCGATAGTTGAGAGGAAACTCCCCAGACCCAGTCCTCCCCGTCGTACCCCCGCCTCCGCCTCCTCCTGCCTGCCTGCCCGCTGGGGTGGGCGCCCGGCCGTCTGTCTGTCGGTCCGTCCCCCCCCGCCTCGGGGGTCCCGTCCCCGCTCCCGGCCCCTGTGTGTGTCCCAGCGGGAGACGGGCCTGGCTCCCCACCCCACCCCCGGTGCAGGGAGTGGGGACCTGGGAGCTGGCGAAGAGGGGAGTGGGCTGAGGGGAGATTGGCCCTGGGGCTGTTGGGAGAAGTTTCAGGGACTCCCTCCGCACCCCGGCGGTGTCACCACTTTCTCAGCCCCTCTCGCTACTGAAGCGCTTTTCTCTCTCACACTCCGGTTTTAACTCGGGCAGGGGCTGCAGAGGCTCCGCCTCCTGACACGTCCTTGAGCCATGTGACGTACCGCCCCGCTATTCTATTGGCCAGTCCCTACCCTCTTATTAGCATATTCAAACAGCTGAGGGGCGGGGGAAGCTTGTAGGCCGGCTCCGGGAACAGTTATTGAGCACGCGCGGAGGCGGGGCGTCGGGTGCGCGCGAGAGCGAGCGCGAGGGGCGAGCGGGCGGGCGGGCAGACGCGGAGGCGGGCTCCGGGAAGGGGCGGGGCGGGGCGGGGCGGGGCGCGGAAGGACCGCGGGTTGGGGGCGGGGGCCGCGTCGGCGCGCGCAGGGTGGCCTCGCCTGTGAGTCTGCGCGTCAGGGCCGCCGGCCTCGCCTTGGCTGTTGGAGGTGATAGGGGTCGGGGGAAGGGAAATGGAGGCTGGCCTCGGTTCCCCTTCCGACTTCTCTGTAGCCAACCCCTTCCCCCGGGGGCGAGTGAGGAGGAGATAAGTAAAGAGATCAAACACCCAGTTAGGAGAAGGAGGCAAGCCCGCGGTCGCCCTCCCGAGGAGGGCTCCGAGCCTGCGGCCGCGGGAGGAGGTTCCTCGGGCCGCGGAGGGCCGGCCCCAGCGCGGGCGGGCCCGGGGCGGGGGAGGGGAAGTGAGAGGTTGTTTATGACCAGGGACTAATCTCCGCGGGTCACACCGCTCCCGCTGGGGAGTGGGGACCAGGGGCAAACCTTGCCCGCAGTCTTGCTCGGCCTTGGGGGAGCGACCAGGGGTGAGGGCTGGGCCCGGAGCAGACCAGGAGCCCTGTCGATGGCGGACCCACGAGAAAGGACACCCACCGTTTTCCTAACGCAGCCCTAAAAGGGCCTGGGGGAAGACTCCAGTATCCATAAACAGGCTGTTACCCGTCTCAGGGAAAAATAACCGGTGTTACCCGAAGAAATACCTTTCTCGAGCCGTGTTTCCCCAGGGCCATATAAGATCAATTTCAGAGCTAAAAGGGACCTTAGCAAATCATAACCCATTACTCCTATTTTTAAATGGAAAAGCTGACTTCGGGTTGCCCAGGTGACACAGACGGGTTCCCCGTTGTCGTGCCAGCGCTCTTTCCTTTCACCATATGCCGTCTCTCAGCGTCGTTCCAAGTACTCTGAGGGAAGACACCCTCGGTTGTGGAAACAAGCCCCTGTCATCGTGCCGGAAGTAGTGAGTCCTCTCCTAAAGGTCCCAGGAAAACAGTTTCCTCAAATATACTCGTTGAAAAACTGAAGACATTGCCTGAGATGCAAGTTGAATTAAGGACATAGAACCCTTAGAAGACCATGTGGGTGTTTATAGGACGGCTTCTACTGGCCTTGCATTTCGATTTTTCTATTCTTTATCCTGAAATCCTTAATTATTTGCCTACTCACCATTTAAAGAAATTGGTCCTTTTAACATTGTCACAGAAGAGTCCTGCTTTGTGGCACTTTTTTAAAATCTTGCTTCGTAACTTGGACTTTTCCTATTTAAGACAACCTCTGAACTTTTTGTTAATTTATAGTAGGGCTACTTCAGGAATAAGCTGTTCTGTGAGTATGTACCATAGAAGAATGCGATGTTTTTAAGAGATTTGGATTAGAAATAAGATAAATACAGGTCCTACATCCAATATTTACTGAGGACCAGTGGAGTTAAAAAATGATTAAAATATGGTCCCTGCCTTAGAAGAGCTTATGGTTTTTCTAGAAAAATATTACACGTACATTATTAGCTACTACGAGGCAGAAAGTGGTTAGATAGTAAATAGTTCAGAAAAGAGAAAAATTTATTACCCTAGGGTGATGAAAGAACATTTTCCAGGGTCAGTGTGTTTAAACTGTGTGTTAAAGCAGTGTTTCTCAAACTGAGATCCTAGACCTGGAGATAGGATTCAGAGTTCTTTAATACTTTAAGATGTTTCTTGTCATTTTGATGACAATATACAAATCCCTTTACCAGTTATAACGACAGAATTTTTCTTTCAAATTGGTAATTTGCATCTGAAAGAGATTTTCATAGAATCTTCAGTTTTCTATATGAGTGCTTTTCAAACTGTGTTCTATAGACCCCTGCCTGTCCAAAAATGTATTCTCTAGAATCATAAGAATTTCTTTCACATTATTCGGATGTGAGAAACACTGCTTTAAAGGATTGGTAGGATATGGAAATGTGGGTAAAGGAAGAGGAAACTGCTGGTGAAAAAGACCTAGGCATTGAAAGTGTAGTGAAGAAAGAAAGCACAGTATTGCCAGTGCTTGTTGGGGAACAGTGAAGTTCAGCTGGGCTGGTCCACTAGCTGCACAAAGAATAGTGTAAGATCCAGGAAAGTAGATCAAGTCTAGACAGTACAGGGTCTTTATTCCAGGCTAAGGACTTTTTTCTGTATAAATTAGAGTTTTAGTTGGGGTGCTGAGTACAAAGCAGTGTTTGAAGGGAATCAAACTAGACTACTGAAGTAGATGAGCGTATATTACCTATTACAGTTATTTGAAATCGTTTCCAACGGAGCCATCCTGGATTTTTCTTCCCTGAATCAGTGGAATTGGCAGATTGTCATGCTAGGGTCTAGGAGAGCCAGGATTAGATGCAAAGATCAGGAGAGCCAAGTCCAATGAGCCAGCGCGGAGCATATAACCAGAACCTATGCTTCTGATGGCACCTAAGATCAAAGGGCAAGTTTCCAATTCAGAAGCCCAGAAGTGCTGGAAGGCAAGGCCCTGAGGCACAATAGGAAAGAAATCAGGACACACATAGGGAGCAAATCAAGAGGCCATCAGAAACTAGGAAGCATTGACAGTGGTCCCTAGATAAAATTGTGAAGTAGGCCAAGGTTATTGTTAGTGACTCTGGTTGACAATTAATCTATTGGTTTGATGATGGCTTAAAGCAGTGGTTCTGGGCCAGGAGATGCACATCAGTATCACCCGCAGAACTTAATAAGTGTACCATGGAGCCGGCCCCATGGCTGAGTGGTTAAGTTCGTGCGCTCCACTTTGGTGGCCCAGAGCACAGACCTATCACCACTCATCAAGTCATGCTTTGGCGGCATCCCACATAGAGTAACTAGAATGACTTACAACTAGGATATACAACTATGTACTGGGGCTTTGGGAAGAGGGAAAAAAAGGGAAAGATTGGCAACAGATTTTAGCTCATGGCCAATATTCCTCACCAAAAACAAAATAATAATAATAATACTTAATAATAAATGTACCAAATCCCCATACCCAAAGGAAAGTGATTCAATAGAGTTGGGATGGGTCCTGGTCATCTCATTTTTAAAAAAGCTCTTCAAGTGAATCATAAATAATAATTAAGAACTATATGCTTAAAATATAAGAATAATGTATGTGTCTAGCATCTAATAGTACTCAATAAAATTCACACACTCTTAGAGTTACTACGTTTCTTAAAAGAACTCCTAAAACAAATCTGCAAACTAAAAGGAAAAAAAACTATAAATGTGACACCAATATAGATAACAGTGAATTTGATTCATATGTGTATTTAAATTACTTGGATTCAACTACATTTGACAAAAAATAAAAAGAACTAAATAGTGCCGGAGATTCCCACTGTTCCCCTCAGTGAGCTTAGGCCTTGGAGTAAGCATGAAATGTGAAACACGAATCTCTTCTTCACTCGATCTGTGTGATTCTAGAATGTGATTCTGGAAAGATTCTGGTTATATTCAGGCTGATTTTTCTAAAACATGCAAGCCAACTATTTCATCAGACTCAGCTGAAGAAACAGCTCTTGCAGTGCTCAAGGGAAAACTAGTAGGAGTAGTGTGTGCTGAACCCGATTTGTTGCAGTCTAGGGGGTTAGGGAAGATTCTTCTGGGAGGCATTGGTCAGAAGAGGTATGTGGGAGAAAACCACCTGCCCTTTACTGCTGTTTTTAAAGGAATGCTGCCCAAATGCTATGCCGCCAATTTAAAAGGGAATGAAAAAATTATAGGAAACCCTCTGAAAGAATGGTGACTCTGGCTTAAACAATAGCCTAAATTGTTTAAATGGAGCTATTCTAACAGAATTAAGAACTGATGGATTAGATTCATTTGTAGGAGCCAACCAGAGCCCTTTCAAATTATTTTAAACCAATTAAGCAGAGCAACACGGTTTAAAAATAATGTGCCAGTGACTTGGCTTATGGTATCTGCATGTGCTATCTGAACAGAATAAATCAGATGAAGCTAGTGTTGTTCATTTGTAACCTAACAAAGTTTCTTATGGCTGTCTTACCATTTCCTCAGCTCTGCTTTACTCTTTGAGATCACAATAGTCAATGATGTTGAGAAGTTGAGAACATCAAAAAAAACGTGAAGTAATAAGCATAAAAAATTAGGTGTGAAACTATGCAGCAGAATGCATTCAAGTAGTACGTATATAAGGGAATTTAATTTTGGTTATCCTAATATTATATAATGTCAATCCTCAGAAAAAAATGCTATTAAAGACTACTATTATAAAGAAATTAGACCTTTTGAACGAGCAGTATTTCACAGAAAAGCTCAGAAAAAGTCTCAGGTAAGTCAAGATCAGTCCTGAAAATGGCCATATCCAAATTGAGAATTAGAATCACAGTGGCAAAAACATGAAAACTGCAAAAACATGCAAACTAGCAAAGTAGAACACTAGCAAAAAAACATGAACACTGGGGTAATTCTTTCAACTACTATTAATTGCACACCTACCATGTCACAGGCACTATGGTAGGCCATAGAGAGTTTATAATCTAATGGAAAGACAGAAGACAAACAGATAATGAAAATACACTAAACAGATAATGAGAATTCTGACAGTATGATAAGTCAGCAGACCCCAGGCGTGATATGATGAGATGTGTCTTAGAGGATTGTTTTGAAAATGAGAAGTAACACACCATATTTCATCAATTCTAAGACACCATGGTTTCCAAGAAATGCTCTTATTTTTGAACCACTGAAAGAAAAAAAATGCTCCTAGTTAAACTACAACAATACTTTCTTAATCAATTAGAATTTTTCCTCACAGTACTGAATTCTGCCAGCCAGGAGCATTAGTAATATAACATGTTTTAAAAGAATACTCTGCTTTTGTCTTTGGTATTTTCTTCAAACCATTGACTTCTATGAGTTTTGATGCTGTGCTTTCTTGATCCAACTAGAAAGTTTTCAGACCACAGCCAGGATTTATATCCTTTCTTTAAATGTTGGTTGCCTGAAATGCCTAGGGTTTGCATTTGTCTAGTCATACCACCAGGAATAACCATGAAGTTTGCACATGTACAGGCTATGACAGCTACATCACAACTGCCTTCTGGTGACAGGATTGTAAGATGCCATTATTCCAAGCTGAATTCCAGTTTTAGAGATGTTAAAATAGAAAAATGTACCTCTTAGAATCGATAAAATACCATTTAGTGCTGGTAGCTCTTAAAATATGTGTCATTAGAATATACAAAGAGCTCCATGACCACTGAGGATAGAGCAGCTAGTCTCACAAAGTAAATGATAGTTGAGCAGACAGAAATCACATGGGGTTGGAACGTGTGTGTGGAAGAGTGATAGGAGCTGAGGCTGGGCCACATCATAAAGGGTTTCATGTGCCTAACTAAGATATTTTGAATTTTATCTTTGGATGATAGGGAGACAAACATTTTGGGTAAGGAAGTGATATAATCAGATTCTCATTTTGTGAAGAATTTCAGTAACAATTGGGAAGATGGATTAGAATGGGAAGACAGTGGGCAAGGAGACTGATCAGGCAATTTCTGTATTAGTCCAGGGAACAAATAGGAATCACTGAAAGTGGCAACAGGGAAGGTCAAGAGAGGGTTATGAAAGACACTGAGGTGAGAGAATTGACAGGACTTGGTGAACTGAGTAGATGCAGGCAGAAGCATGATATTGTGAGATTGAGTCCATCTTGTGTCATGTAAGTATCATCAAACTACTGGTAACTATAAATTCTAAGAAGAACCAATGGGGCAAATGTTGAACAGTTATTTATTGAATCTCTAGCATGTGCAGGAGCTGGGAATTTAGCAGTGAATGAAACAGGGAAGCAAATTCCTGTCCTTGTGAAGTTTACATTTTAGTAGGAGAGGTAGAGAATAAACAAGATAAGTAAATTATATGGCGTGTTCACCCTAAGTGCTAAGGGGGAAAAGTAAAGCAGGGAAAGGTAATGAAGTGTCGCAGAGGGAGGAGAGTTGGAGTTTTAGATATGGAGGACATATCATTGAGAAAATGATATTTGAGTGGAGACCTGAAAGAAGTGAGGGACAGAGCTGTGCAGATATCTAGGGAAAGATAGATTTTATCCATTTACTTTACTGAAGTTTAGTAAAACATAGTGGTTTGAAATGCTGATACATATTAGTCATCTGTTGGTAGGTATTCTTTGCTGATACTTAATATGTATTCTTATTCATAACAATAAGTATTAAGTGTTCTTTGCTGATATTTAATACATATTCTTATTAATAGCAGTATTATTCTAACTAATAATAATAAGTATTCTCTGCTGATAGAGGTTCTCCCTGAGAAGCACAACACCAATTATGTGTTAAATACTATGGGGCCTGCCCAGTGGAGCAGCGGTTAAAGTTCGCTTTCCGCTTCAGCGACCCTGGGTTCACCAGTTCGAAACCTGGCTGTGGACCTGCGCACCGCTTGGCAAGCCATACTGTGGCAGGCATCCCCCATATAAAGTAGACGAAGGTGGGCACGGATGTTACCTCAAGACTAATCTTCCTCAAAAAAAACCCAAAAAAAATATTATTGAGAGATTTATTTATCTTAAAGTTGACAAGTGCTGTTTTAGATTCCTGGGATTCAGTGTTACACGAAACAGACCTAATCTCTACCCTATAGAGATGCCAGACAAAATACAGGACTCACAATTAAGTTGGAATTTCAGATAATGCATAATTTTTTAGTATGAGTATGTACCAAATAGTACATGGAACATACTTAGACTAAAAAATTATGCATTGTTTATCTGAAATTCATATTTAACTGGGCATCCTATATTTTTATTTGCTGAATCTGGCAATTCTATGCCCTCACTTAGCTTACAATCTGACTACTGGAGGCAGAGATTAGTAAATACAATTTGCATACCGTGGGCATGCTGTATAACCTGGGAAGCCATAAAATGGAAGACACAGGGACTCTCAACGTATGGAGGAAATCTGCCTGACAACCAAGAACACCCACCCTTAAGAGCAAGAAATAAACTTGTCGTGTTTGAGCCATATGTTTTGAATCCATTTGTACCCTGGTCTCTTTGTTTTACCAGCCTAGTGTAACTAACTTAATGTGTCAGTCCCTGAAATCTGTCATGCCCAAATTTACTCCAGAGTCAAAAGTTTTTGTATAATTTACCAACAGCTAATAAAGTATATGTGAATAAAGGCAACAGAGATGTAAGCCAAACCCTAAAAATGCTTGTACTATAGCCATCATTCTAATATAGCTTTAAGCTTGAGTATTTTTGAGGCAGTCATGAAGGGTATCAGATCATCAAAGGAAAACTTTGATGGTTTCATTAAGCAACTAACACTGTATATATTATTCCTGGCTAGTACAACATTTCAGATACTTTTTCTTTCAAACAGTTATTAAACGTAAGGTTAGGTGTTGGAGGCTCTGAAAATTATAAATAAGACATGATTTCTTACTTCAGGAAGTGTAGGGCCTAGTAGAGGAAATAAAGATATATATATAATAAACAGAATATAATCAGTGCCAAAAGATAAGTGCAAATAGTATCTCTAATTGAAGTGAAATTCAGTCAGACTAGAGCAGAATAAAATAAAGCAACTGATGAGGATGCAGTTTTTACTTCAAAGCTTTACAATCTTCTATCTTTAATTTTTTTTATTTAAAAGAATTCATCAAGAATTCACAAAATGCAAAAATAACAGAAAAACAAAAATCACTTTTAATCACTATCCATACATAGCCACTGATAACATTTTAGTATATAACACCTTCCTTTATATTTTAAATAAAATTAGGGTCTTTTTATATATTCTTTCTATCTTGCCTTTTTTTCCACTTAAAATAATGTGAGCATTTTTCATTAAATAATTTTTAAAATATGGCTTTTAATAAATGCATAATATTCAATCCCATTATTTATTTTCCTCTTATAACTATGTTTTATTTGCAGATATTTTGCTTTGAACAGCCCTGTAAGTAAATTTTTGTAATAATTTAGCAACTATTATTTGAACACTGGTTACTGCTCTGGATGTTGGAGATACATTAGTGAACAAACTGTCCCAAATCCCTGCCCTCATGTGGGGAAGATAGACAATAAATATGTAAACTATATATTATATCAGAGATTGATAAGTGCTCTGGAGAAAAATGAAGCATGGAAGAGGAATAAGAAATGGTGGGGCTGGGTGTTTTCCTTGTAAATGTGGACTATAGAAATAACTAAAATGTGGAATGGAATTTGATAAGTACCAAAAAAGAAGTTCAAACTGCCATGAGGAACATTTACCTAAGAGGACAGGACAAGAAAGAGAAACCAAAAAATTAGCAAGAGAAGAAGATAGACAGTCAGGAACTCGACTTGCCAGAGCAAAGAGAAAATAGAATTTCAGAAAGGAGAATACATTTTTTCAAAAGTTACTAAAACATCAAACACAGTGAAGACCAAACAAAGCCATTAGACTTGAGAAAGCCATTGCTGACTTTTATAAGGGTCTTGTTAGTGGAATATAGAGACAAAAGAAATAAGGTACATTAGGTCACCAGGGATTTTAGTGAATGATTGAAAGTAGAGAATAAAAACTTCTCTTTTTGCACTAAAAAAGAGGATGGGATGGTAGCCCAAAGGACCAAAGAGAGGCTTTATTTTAGGGTGAAGGAAAACCCAAACATGTTTTTAGGTAGATAAAAAGCAGGGAAGGACTGAAGGTGTGAGAGAGGTATGGCCAGTCTCAGGAGCAGAAAAGGACAGGTCAAGAGCGTAGGTGGGTTGTGAAAGAAGGGGCTTCTTCTTCTGAGACCAAAAATAATGACAAGAGCGTGAACGATGCAATGTGATGGTTAATTTTATGTCTAAACTTGGCTGGGCCATGGTTACCCAGATATTTGGTCAAATATTATTCTGAGTGTGTCTGTGAGGGTGTTTTTGGATGAGATTAACCTTTGAATGGTTAGACTGAATAAAGCAGATTGCCCTTCCCAAAGTGGGTAGGCCTCATGAATAGAACAAAGAGCCTTACCCTCCCACCAGTGAGAGGGAACTCCTCCTGCCTGACTGCGTTGAGCTGGGACTTCCATCTTTTCCTGGCTTCAGACTCAAACTGAAACACTGGCTCTTCTTGGGTCTGGCGCCTGTTAGCTTTCAGATTGGAACTATGTCATCAGCTCTCCTGGGTCTCCAGTTTGCCAACTGCAGATCTTGGGACTTCTCAGCCTTCATAATCGTGTGAGGGAATTTTTTATAATCAGTCTCTCTCTCTCTCTCTCCCCCTCCTCTTCTCTCTCTCTCTCTATATGTATACACACACACACACACATATATACACACATATTGTTATATGCATATTGTTATATATGTACATGTTGCTGTATGTATATATATTCTGTGTTCTGTTTTTTTTTTTTTAAAGATTTTATTTTTTCCTTTTTCTCCCCAAAGCCCCCCGGTACATAGTTGTATATTCTTCGTTGTGGGTCCTACTAGTTGTGGCATGTGAGACGCTGCCTCAGCGTGGTCTGATGAGCAGTGCCATGTCCGCGCCCAGGATTCGAACCAACGAAACACTGGGCCGCCTGCAGCGGAGCGCGCGAACTTAACCACTCGGCCACGGGGCCAGCCCCTCTGTGTTCTGTTTTTATTGGTTCTGTTTCTCTGGGGAACCCTGACTAATACACCAGTGTATAGTAAATGTTTAATATATTTTGAATGACAAAATCTATTATAGAGAAAGTCAGAGGTGGCAAGGATGGATGCTGAAGGAGCTATAGGAAATGGATGGTCGCCCAAGCTGACCAGTGAGACCAAGGGCCAAGCTAAGTGCTCAAGGAAAATCCCTTTTGTGGCTAATGGGGGATAGTGTGCACAAGCAAGCAGATCATCTGGGCTCTTAATGGGCAAAGATCCTGGCGGGCCATGGTCAACCTCTAGGAGCTTCAACAAGCATTCCTGTAAGCAGCGTTCAGAGCTCTGAGCCAGGAATGTGATGGGAAGTAACAGGCAAAGACCAAATGTTATTGGCATCAAGGAAATGGGAAGAAAATAAACATTTCATTGCCTAGTTGTGCCAAGCACTCTGCTAGAGCTTCCCATGATCATTTAATCTTCTAACAAACCTGCATGCTAAGGGCTCCAACCCCTGTGAAGACTGCAGGCACTATAGGATACCTGGCATGAAAACAAGGCAGAGACTCAGGCACAGAGGAAAATGACAGAGAAGCAATCAACAAAATATCTTATAAGGGAGGAATTTGCTCATAAGAACAAGAATGGAAAGGATAAAGGGGTTAGAGCTTCTAACGATGTTAGCGAGAATATAATTTTAATATCAATTCACTAGCCTCCAAAGACCCATGTTCTAAGAGAGCAAGTAAAATAGCTTAACATCTTATTATGCGATATCTATCGTTGATGATGGGCGCATAGGACCTCTCATGACATCCACTTAATTTGCCAGATTAACTGATGCTCCTCATTCCCTCTTTAAAACATGCCCACAAAATGATATATGCTCAAAACTAGTAGAATTAATTCCCTTTAATATAATTGTGAACTTCTGCTCCCAGTACAAGTTCCATGCTTGTGGAGTCAGTTGTGACTTTTCCCCAAGCTCCTTTGTACCAGTTGAACTTGTTATTGTAATTATGTTAATTAATTAAATATTATGTGAACCAATGGAATGTGAAACAAAAGTCACTAAGGAAATTGCTGTCAGATTAGGTGTAAGCAGGAAAACTGCAAAAGCCTAGAAAAAGTAAAAGTCTACAAGTATTTTGCATTTCAAAAGATTGACAAGAAATGCATTTGTAGTTTAAGTTTAAAAGTTTAAGGTGTAGAGCATCATTTTTTTAATTTCTCTGCTTTAATTTACTTTTTCAATCCACTAATCACCTCCTAGTGTTGGATAAGAAAGCTTTTACTATCCTCTGTATTGTACTTGTGTAGCACGTTTGTTTGCTCTTCTAAAAAGGCACAATCTGTCTAGAAAAGCAAAATTCAAGACTGGAGTCCGTGTTCTCTTAGTGACTCCATTCAGCATTTTATGTGAAACCTCAATACAGAGTATAATACTACATGTCTGTTTAAACGATTCCTCTAAGTCTTAGGAATAGTATGACTTCTATGTATTAAATTTTGTACTATGAACATTTATGGCTCACTAGTATTCACAAGATTACCAGGAATTATGCATTTGAGGCCCAGGTTGTTGTTGTTTCCTTAGAGGTCAATATGTGCAGCATTTTAATAGTTCTTTCTCTAAGGAATCTTAGAAATAATCTAGTGCAGTTCTTTTGTATTAAAGATCGGTAAACTGAGGACTGGGTTAAAGACAAGTTCCCAAGGTAAAAATTTTTTGAAATAAAATTAAGGGAAATGTTTAAATAGCCCCTAACATTGTATCTTCCTCATGATATATAAGAATTCTAATCCAAGGATCTCAAAAGCACTTTTAAATCCAATCATTAATGATTCTGATTCCTATGTATCAAATTATTCTGTTTTCTACAGACTGGGTTGCCTCCTCTCAGACACTGACTGTGAAAGGTCAACGTTTTCTTTGCGGGTGAATCAGTTGAGAGTTGCATTCATCCATGAATAAGAAACCTGAAAAACAAGGGTTGTTATTTCCACATATGTCAGTGGTAGGCAGTCCAGGCCTCATTTGTCCACTCTAAGTGTTACAATGTCATTAAGCATGAGGCCTTCTCTGTTTTCTTGTTCAGCCAATCTTAATGTGTCCTTGTCAACTGGTAACTAGCTATTTCACCTCAAGTATTGTAGGTTTGCTTTGATAGAAATAAGGGGAGGAGAAAAGAAAGCGTCAGCTGAGCTGTCCTTCCTTAAAAAAGAGATTTTCTGGAACCACTCCTAATAATTCTCTTAGATCTGATTGGCCAACTGTGTCACATGGCCACTCTCATCTGTAAGGGAGGCTGGGAAATGTCGTTTTTTTGGCTGGGCATATTACCACCTCCAACAAAACTAAGGCAGTTAGAAAGGAAGAAGGAGAGAATCAATGTTGGGAGAGCAACCAGCAGTCTCTCTTCCCGCAGGACTGTTGCCAAGACTGGGAAGAATGGATGTGTGGTAACTAGCATGTGCCTGGCACCCAGTGGCTGCTGAAAAACTGGTAGCTCTTATTTTGTTAGAAGAAAATGAAACTAGTGGTGATGTCTCCAAATTTCTTCCACAGTAATTATGAAGAACTATTTTTACACATGTAAAGAATTCAATGTAGTGATATAATAAATTTTAGCAGAAAAACAAATTTTTACTAAACTTTCATTTGGCACTAAAACATTGGTCTGGCAACTTTTAAAACTCATTTGATTAACTAGATTATCATTTTGGACAATGGTCAATAGTTTATGAATGTGCACTGTAGTCTCAAAAATTTTAAATATAAATCACTTTTTTCTCTATTTTATGAGTTGGAAAATATTTGTTTATTGTATTTAATTATCATTAAAAATATATTTATCATAACTAAAGCATGTTCAAATTGGTGACATATTGAAAAAATAACATCTGTTGAATCATTAAAATATTACCACAAGTATTTGTATTGATCATATATTGTTAAATAAAGATCTTGACCTGCAAAAGATGTATCTGTAGGGATCGTTGGGTTTCTGATTTCAGTTGCAAGAATTTCTAGTTTGCTATATTGTTAGCATGGCAATACCAGAAGTTTTATGTAAAGTACTTGATTTTGTGAAGCAACAAGAAGACCAAAGACAAACGTGTTTTAGAAGAAAATTAACCATTTTTTGCGTACAAAAATCAAAAGTATGGGGCTGGCCCGTGGCACAGCAGTTAAGCTCGCACATTCCACTTTGGCGGCCTGGGGTTCACCGATTCAGATCCCAGGTGTGGACATGGCACCACTTGGCAAGCCATGCTGTGGTAGGCCTCCCACATATAAAGTAGAGGAAGATGAGCATGGATGTTAGCTCAGGGCCAGTCTTCCTCAGAAAAAGAGGAGGATTAGCAGTAGATGTTAGCTCAGGGCTGATCTTCCTTAAAAAAACACAAAAAACCTCTGTCTAAATATTTTCTTTAAAATGAACTAAATGTGAGAGGGTTGTGTGTGTGTGTGTATGTGTGTGTAATAAAAGGAATGGAATCAAGCCATTTTAGAAGCCTATCATCACGCTTAGTGCTTTACAAATACTTTCATCTCTCAATCTTTACGATGACTCAGAGTACTTACTACTCCAGTAAGAGGAATCACATGGAGAGGAGACAGCGAGAGACTAAGTGTCCCGAAGAGGGACTGCAAAGCTCTGATTCAAATGCAGAGTGGACTCTGCAGCCTGTGTTGGTTCCTCTACTGCATGCCCTAGACACGGAATTGTCTCATGAATATGACTTAGCCCCTAAGTTCTTCATGTAAGAATTTTGTGACCTTTGATGTTAATGATGTATCGTGGTTTTAATTTTCAGATTTGTGAAATGTAATTTTGGTTCAGGTTTACTTTACAAAATGCAACCCAAGACATTACAAGCAATGTAATATGAAGAAATGAATAATCAAATGATGGATTTAACTAATTTATAAAGTTCAAACCCAAACTTCCCCTTGACTGCAAGATTTGTCTTTTTTTCCTCTATAATTACCAAAATACTTGACTCAGTTATCCAGTTAATTTTATACATGTATTCGTGTGTCTATGTATCTTCAAAGTGTAGTTTTTAACTACCATAGTTACACCAGGAAGCATGTACATGCTTTTTGCTTTTGAATTTTTTCTTGCTTAGATTTATCCCATCATCTATAGTTAAGCCTGTTTTATAGAAAGTCTTTGACTTTCTTTAAATTATTTCATTTAGTCTAATTCCACCTCTTCCAGCTCCATGCCACCACCCTTACCCCAACCTCAGTTTAGCACATATCCTGCTCTCACCTGTCACGCTTGTGTCAATATTATCATTTCATTGGCAGCATTCTCACTGCTGGAAGTCAAGCTCAGTTGTGAAGGGGAATTTGTTTAGGCATAACAATGCCAATATGAAAAGAACTGAAATAAATTGCACGTCTCTCTTTAATCCATTGGATCTTTTGCAGATAAAAAATTTTTACTTTAAAGTCTGCTTCATTTTTCTCACTAATGCCTCCATCAACCCTTTTTTACATTGAAGACTACCATTTTCCCTTTCATAAACATTCTGAAACCTATTAGCTACTCAGATCCAATGGCTTGCTCCCTTCAGTTGCAGAAGATTGCCACATTCCTTCACAAAAAGAGCCTGGAAAGTGCTAGCAGTGCCCTATTTCTCTGAAGGGTCTCTAACTCTTACTCAAGTAAAGGAAACGGTAAGTAAAGATGTTTGGCATGGTAGATTTTAAAAATGAAAGAAAAATGTGTACTCATAATACAGATAAACTACTTTTTCAGGTATGTTCTGTCTTATTTTCTCAGGTATTAAAATATTTCAAGGAAGTTTCAATACATTGACTGTCAAGAAACTACTAAAGCATCTTTTGTGAGTTGCTTTCCTTTTGTCTGAATTATAGTGTTATTTCAACACTGTGCTATACCAGAGTATGCAGGTTTGTCTGTCATTTCACAGCTGTCAAAGGGAAATTCTTATTTTAAATCTCTACATCATCGTTAAATAGTTCTAATAATAAAAGGCCTAAATTTCAAGTCCTCAGGGACATCGAGTTATCTCATCTACTATGTGGTTTAAGCTCTGGCAAAATGTTGCAGAAGAGATAGATAATAGGCAACAGAGGGTAAGAAGAAAACCTAACATTGTTACCTGGTTGTTGATAGCACCTAAGATATTGCATAAGATTATAAAATATTTTGTTTAAGATTAGTAGGCTGTTTTAACAAGTGAACCAGAAGTGCGGGGCAGGGTACTTCTAGGTGTGTCTATTTCAGGAAACATGGTATGATTGACCATTTTTCCTCCTTAAGTAAGTGTATTCCTCCTCATACATCGCTCAGAGCATTGTTATAACATCCCTGGGAGAGCAGTCGTTTAAAAACGGAGTTGAAGTCCACATTTCAGCCTTGGAAGGTGGCTGAGTTGTGTGATGACCTTGGAGATTTAGCTCCAATTAGGCAAAGTCTAGCAGAGTGGACCTAGAAGAGGTTAGAAAATTTTTAAAAACTCAAATTCATTTTTATTCTGGTAAATCTTTTTACTTGTTATGATTTCCTTGAGGAAGGGTTGGCTCCAGTAAAAGGGCAACAGGCATTTGCCTAATGGTCTGAAGTCTGACAACCAAAAATCAACATAGGAAAAAAATCATGACTTTCAGATGCAAGACTTTGAGATTCGGCCCAGGCTGAATTCTAGTTTACCTTTGCACTATGAAAAAGCATTTACTAGGCAGGTGGCTAAACAGTAGAGTTTATCTTACTTGATAATGAGTGTCAAACTATCCAAGATCTTTTAAGCGCAAAATTGTTTATTCACAAATAACAAAGAAGGACATTACAAACACATCTGAAAAATTACCTAATTTTCGTAACCGGATCCTTTTCTTTACCTATCAGTTGTGTTGCTGTTTTTAAAGTTATAAAAGTTTTAAAAAGTTATAAATTTAAAACTTTATGAGACTTTTAGGAAAGTTGTGATATATAGAGAGAGAATTATGTATTTATTTATTTTTAGGAAAACTTTTCCCTGGTGATTCTCAACTGGAGACATTTAGTTGGGAAGCATCTGGAAATGTATGAGGGCACCTTTGATTTCTCAGTGATGCAGGGGGTGGCTGGCAGCGAGCTACCGGCCTTCAGCACTGGGAGCTAGGGATATGAAACATCCTGCAAGTCCAGCACAACCGTGAATTATTCCACCGAAATGCCAGGGGTGCTGTCACCCTTGAGAAACACAAGGGACCTAGCTATTTCAGGTAAATGAAGTGTTCATTGTGAAAAAGTCAGAGGCAGAGGAGTGTAAGGGCTCTGTGTGGACTGTGGAGCCACACAGCTTGAGTTCAAATCCAGTTTCCGGCTGTATGACATTGGCCATTTAATTAAATGATCTAAGACTCAGTTGCCCCATCTGTAACATGGGAATACTAGTAATTTTTGCCTCATAGAATTTTGTTGTATAGTATTAAACAAGTTAAAATATATAAAATTCTTAGAATAGGGCAAGCTCTCAATGTTGGCTATTGCTATTGCAAGTTCACTCAAGTCCTTCATTTTATTACATTAATTAGAATTGGTGAGAGGATGTACAAATATGTTTTTGAAACCTGAAGCTTCTAAATTTAAAATTCTTCAGTCTGGAATCCATTATGTGTGAGAAAATATTTCTTGATGAGAACAGTCAGAATGTAAGCATGCTCTCAGTCACTAAATGTGTTCCAACAAAGCAGCAGGAGAAGGTTAAGAGTGGGAACGGCAAGTCTTCCCAGGTTGAAGAAAATTTGTGTGGGCTGTGAAAAAGGAAGACTGTAAGGTGGACACTTTGCAGAGTAAAGGGATGCAGAGGAGGTCTGACCAAATTATAACCGTGCGTTTGCAGGGCACTGATCATAGTTGATGAGATGCAACCAAGAAGAGATTATTACTGGCCCAGACCACGAGGAAAAATCAATTTCAGACGACAGTCAAGTTGGAGGACCCTCGTGGAACACTTTGTATTTCCATGGGGTCTGTAAACCTTGAACCTATTGGTGCAGACTTGGAACATTCTGAATGGTTAAATGCTTCGTTCTGTAAAAGAGGAGACTGCTCACTCTGCAGCTAAGTCTTGGATTTGTGGTTTGCACACAGAGGGCCTTGCTTATGTAACTCTCATTTTTAACTATAGTCCAGTGAAAGTCAGTTTTATTTCTATTAAGGATTTATAAGCCCAAAAGTGAACATTGAATTAATCCTAGTGTGTTATACATTAAAAAAAAAAGCTGAGTCCAAACAAGAATGAGGTTAGTGCCTGTGGGAAGAGTAGAACAGCTCATCACAGGTGGATGTAACAAATTTTTCAAGTCAAAGTTCTGTCAGATGTTTTATGTGATGATTCAAATGATCAAATGCTTTAATCACAAATAGAATCGGGTAATATCACCATTAATAGGAAACTTCCAAAAATAGCCATAGTAATAGTGCTATGTTGATTCATTCTCTTTCAAAGATTGAGTCACCAAGTACAAAATCTGGTGAACTGGAATTGATGACAGCAACTATCCTCTTCCCCCGTCTCTCTTGGTTCCTCCTCCTACCCACTGAACCTTCGCACTGTAAACGTTCAATATTCTCCATTATACACTTGCTTAACGCACACACATCCACTTCTCAGAGACTCTTAAAGTCATCTTACTGGCCCTACTGTGAATGTTTCTCAAATCTGTCTCCAGCATTGGCCCCTCCCTTGTGCTTCAGTCTTAAGATTTCCAAGAGCTATTAGATATTGCTACTTAAATATAAAAATTCTACCCTAAAATTCACACATTTCTCCCTTACATCTCAATCGAAATGATCAACAAATCTGATCTATTTTCAAAATGCCTCCAGACTCTGACCACTTCTCTCCACCTCTGTCCTGGTCCAAGCCGCCAACACCTCTTCCTGGATTGATGTGGTGGCCTGCTCACTGGTCTCCATGATTCTTCCATCCTTACGCTACTTCACTCTTCTGAGCTCAGCAGGCAGAGTAGTGCTTTTAAAATGTGCTTTAAAAAGTCACATCCTGACACAACTCTGCACAAAACCCTCCGATGGCATCCCATTTCATTCAAAATAAAGCCAAATTTCTTAATAATCTATAAGGTCTATGCAATGAGCCTCTGACCTCATCTCTTTCTCTTCTTTTCCTCCTTCTCTCTTCTCGTTGTTCCCTCTGGCTGGAATGCATACCCCAGACACCTGCGAGATCTACTCCCTCCCATTCTTGAGGTCTTTACTTGAATGACTTCTCAGCGAGGACTTTTCTGACCATGCTGAGTGCTCCATATTGCCCTTTCTCATTTTATTTGTCTCCACAACACTTATCATTGACATAAAGTGCAATTTACTTACTTATTGTTTATTTTTGGTCTCTCCACACTGGAAAGTGTAGGGACAGGGATGTTAGTCTGTTTTGTCCACTGTTGGAGCCCCAGTGCCTAGAACAAAGCTGTGCACACAATCATCATTAAATAAATATTTCTTGAATGAATCCAAACATATCTGACTCTGCTAAAACCAGCTTCTAATATGGACTACCCTATATTTCCTGAGTGTCCACACTTTTCTCCTGCTAAAAATCCATATAGACTCATATTTTTGCAGTTATCTTTGTCTCTGTCTGTCACTAGGACATCTCATCAGTTGCCAAATTCTTTCAATTCCATGATGTTATTGGAATCTGTCCCCCTCTTTTTTATTTCTACTGCACCACCCTCGTTTATGACAGCATAGGTTGGAATCAGATAGACTTGGGTTTGCATCCCATCTGAACCCCTTACTAGTTATAAGACCTCGGGCAAGTTCATTTGGAGTGGGATGGGGAGGAAGTCTCAGTTTTTCATTGGTTAGTTGGTACCTACTTCATAGGGTGGTTATGAGTTAAATGAGATAATGTGTCTGAAGCATGTATTCTTACCTGAAACATAGTAAGTGATCAGTCTATTCCCATATGTATGATCCATGGCAATAGATTTCTAACTCGTATCCCTTCTCCTTCTCTCATTCCTTTTCAATACACTATACCATTACTACCAAAAACATCTTCTGTAAGTATTGCTTTGATCATGCTATTCAGTTACTCAACAACTTTGAAAATCTTCCTGCAGATAAAGGGAATTACAATTTGAGTGCCTACTATGCCCTAGGTGCTATTATACACATGTAATTTTATTTATTTATTTATTTTTGGTGAGGAAAATTGTCCCTGAGCTAACGTGTGTGCCAGTCTCCCTCTATTTCACATGTGGGAAGCCACCATGGCATGGCTTGATGAGTGGTGTGTAGGTCCATGCCTGGGATCCAAACCCATGAACCCCTGGCCACCAAAGCTGAGCACACGAACTTAACCACAATGCCTCTGGGCTGGCCCCTATACACATTTTATAATTTAATAAAGTCAAACCATTCATCTAGCATTCAAAGCTCATCCAAGTCTGCCTCTCCTCTTCCTATCTGTGATGATCAACTTTATGTGTCAACTTGGCTAGCACAGTACCCAGATATTCGGTAAGCATCAGTCTTGATGTCACTGTGAAGGTATTTTTCAGATGAGATTAACATTTGAATCAGTAGACTTTGAGTAAAGCAGATTACTCTACATAATGTGGGTGGGCCTCATCTAATCAGTTGAAGATCTTAAGAGAAAAGGACTGAGGTCCCTCACTGAAGAAGGAATTCTGCCTTCAGACTGCCTTCAAACTTGAGCCACAACATCAACTCTTCCCTGATTCTCAAGCCTGCCAGCCTGTCCTGCAGAATTCAGACTTGCCAGCCTCCATAATCATGTGTGTCAATTTCTTAAAACAATCTGTCTGTCTCTCTCTCTCTCCACACAAATCCTATTGGTTAAGTTCT